TGATGCGGAGCACGATATAATGGAAAAGCGCATTGTAAAGACATTTCGCCATCGCGTCTCTGGTGTTGATTGCCTGGAAATCGCTTCAAAATTCTCGTATAATGAGTTTAGTATTTGGGGTAGCAGTCAAACCTCTGAGACGCTAAATCGTGTCACGACCGTTTCCGTTTTCATTACGTGTCGTTTCATTGTCAAAGCCTGATAAGATCTATGTTTCTTTGCTATAGTCACCATAACTACCAGCTAACCTGCATCAGAGCTTCCGTCTTTATGTGCATCAACTGAGCCACCAAATCGACTACTTCTTCATTTTCAATGTAAGCATTTTCATCGCTATGGTAGGCGTGTCTCTATAGGGAGGAAGACAACTTCAGTGCAACCAAGAGCTTAAAAATTTCATCGTACACTGATATAGGAAATGTTTCCCAACAATAGGACCGCTGAAATGAGCCCGAAAATTGTTGATTGTGTGCTTGTGCTAAAGCCAACGCTGCTCATCGCCCGTCGCAGTCGATCAAACTCGTACTTTTCATTCACTCCTTCCGGAGAAAACTGTTCATGCTGCAATACCAAACAGATAAATTTAGTCCATCTTGGAATTGTTGTCACTTCCTAACTTGTTTCAGATATCGGTAATCTTGCGGTTTTAACAAATAGTACTTCACACGTTCTTCGTCAGTGGCTCCCTCGAGAAGGTAATAAAACACGTGATAATTCCTAAATTAAACAATTACATCTCTTTTAACATATCGGATTCTTCAAAAATTTTGGCCATTTGCACTCATCTGGTAATATGCAATGTTTGCGTCTGTTTCCTTCTTTACTTTAAGGAGGAAGGAATTTCAGAAAAACAAGAAATTTAGAAAGATTGTGCGTCGTTTGCAATTGTCTTTCTACATCTAGCGAATGCTTCTATTCCCTGAGTGATAAGGAAATTCCTAGATCTCCTAATTAAAGTAGGAAATGTGGACTACTGCAAAACTTAAATGGAAAACATCAAGAACAAACATCTTGAAGTGTGGCAACAAGATGAGCAATTTTAGTATTT